GCCAACTTTACGTTCCAACGAATCCGGGTCAATGGTAAATTAATAAAAGGTGCATCCGACCACGCAAAACTGTTTAGAGAAAAACACGTCGGAACAGCGAGGCTCACGTGGAAAAGACCGTGAGTTGGTGTCGGTTAATTAGGAAGTTGTCGCAGCCGCCCCCGCGAATCGTTTCCAGGGATGTTTTAATTGCGCATTAATGTTTACCTTCGCTATAATTAACTGTACCTTTCATATCATTTCAGCGATCCAAACTGGACGCAATTACAAATTGTTGCGAAAACTTTAAATTATGGTAAATCATCAGTGGATGCACATGGCTTTATTAAAACAAAGTTTAAATACAAACTAATTATTAATATGGAAGTTTATATAATATAATTGAAATCAAAGAAGGACAATTCATTTTTGATAAAAAATTTTTAGTAAGGACAATAACTAAAGGATTGGTCTAGCAATCATTACACAGTACACAAATATGCACAGTTTAGATAGTTATTAGAAACGGTTTGGAAAATCTTGTAGCTTGAATCGTTTGAGTCTCAGTCGAAGGCTACTTCTATTAGTCAACTTTGCTTCTAGGTGGTTTAGGTGGATTTCTAGTCGTTTATGTTGATTATTCTAATCTTGTGAATTTCCTCATTTGTTGAATATGATCAACCTCAATGTCTTCAATTTGTATATCAATTGTGGACTTGCAGGCAGAGCCCCAAAGCTGTATACCACAAGTCCATAAAGTTCTTAGGATTGCTTTTTATATTAGTATAAAGCATAACTCAAAGAATATCTCAGAATTTCTTCCCAATAGCCATTACATTTTATCTAAATAGCAATTCTAATTACATCCTTTTGTCCTTTATGTGGTTCTTTCAGGACAAGCGACGATCCAGGTGAATCTACAAGCACCTTCAGCTTGAGACAAGTTGAACAAGGATTATTAAATTGATCATATAATTTTATAAATCTTGAAAATTATTTCACTATACGAGTTAAAATCCAGAAATTTTGGAACGGATTAAGCGAGGTTCCACTGTATAAAATAAATAATTGTATCTATGTAAATTTTGCTTTCTTTTTGTATGAAAAGTTGCATTAATAATACTGAGATACCATGAAAATGTAGTTCTTTCGGTTTGGTTCAAGTTATTTTGTTAGAGAAAAAAAAAGCTTATTGTAGTCATTTTGAACAATAGAAATTAATGGCGAGGATACGGTATTGTTCTGAATGAGGGTGGACCTTGTAATAAGGGATGTATAGGAATGAATGCGATTCGGGCGGAATCGATTCAGTTGCCGGTCGGGCAATAAACGGTTTTTGTTCGTCCTTTTCTTATGTTCGGCTCAGGTTTGTGAGTGTGCTTGTGCAGGATTGGTAGATGTATTTTCCTGTGTGTTGAATGCGACCGCACACGGACGTAAATATGTGCAATTGAAAGGAAGAAGAGGTGCATATATTGTGCATAGAATTGGACTCGGTTTATACATACATACACACTCACTGTTTCCCTCCTAATGTTCTCAATGTTCTGAGGTCTAATCAGTTTCCTGTCTATTATTTCCAGACCGGTCACTAATTATATTACACGCTCACCGCCGGCACAATCCCAAACATCCTATTGTCAATTTTACTATATGCATTTTACCTACGCTGACTTTAACATATCACATATCCATCCTAAATTAACAAACAAAATTATACTAAAAGCGTGAACGGCAAGCGATATCTGCCTACCAATCGACAACACAGTAAATAACTGACATATAATGTATTTTTTCAAGATTCAATAATTTCTTGTCTCATCTTTGATAGCTTATTGCAAGAGAAGTACGTATACCAGAAGCATATATCTATATACATTTTGAAGCCTTCAGTTTTATCTTTAATTCCAATACCAACTGATATACATGTTAATTGAGATATACGATACAATATGGAGAGATTGCTTTTTTTCAAGATTTAATTTATTTCATGTTAGACAGCAGATTACTGGAGAACCATAAAGCCACAAAAATGAATCTATACCTAAAGTGTTATCTTTAATTTTATTACTTGCGAATAAATCATAGCGATTCCAAAGTAGTTTTTTGGTCACATTTCACGTATAAGAACATTATAAATTGAATTTATTTGTATTTTTTTTACCTAAAGTTACGTGTTATATGTATATATCATGTAATAAATGAATTCTTAAAAAAATAGAATAAATATGCTTGATTTTTCTATAGCAAAGCAATTATTTACTGAACAAAATGTCTTTTTTTTTTTGTTGAATTTTGTTAATAGATATAAGCTTATGAATACAGGACAATAAATTTCACAAGTACATTTTAAGATAGATATAGCTTTTTTTATAGAGATTTTGGTTATAGATAATGAAAAAATACCGTTTATTTTTGGAATGTACGTACATTGCGGAGGATGAAAAACGCGAGCGTCCGTTTTGTTGATAATCAAAATCGAATTCAATATGGGGATATCCAGCGGGCTTTGGGGGGCATAACAAATGGCGGATATATCGGTTTTATTTTTGTTTCGGGGCAGGTGGTTTTTGTTGTTTTTTTTTATGTATGTTGCGTGGCTGTGCAACGGTAGGATGAGGTGTCCTGACCTATGTGACTGCAATTCGGCGTGTAATTTATTTTTAAAGAGGTCCTCGGTTTCGGGACGGATTTAAAGGACGTGCTCCGCTCGTTGCGATACATAAATGTTTTCGATGGGGGGCGGCTGATGTTGGAGTTGGGGGTAGTGTGGAGGTGTCGGACGTGAGGCGGTGGGGTGGCGGCATTTCGGCGGTGGCGGTGCGGTAGGTTGGAGGATTTCATTTGTAGTCATTCCACGATACAAATCACAATCGAATGGCTTGGATTCACCTGGATTAGGCTCCAGCGTTATGCCAGGCCACGGACTAACATCGACACTGATAGATATATTCCCATGAATATCAAACAAAAAGCGGCCGCCTCCGAAACCAAAAAGCCCACCCGCACCACCGGAGGGGGTTTAAACTCACATGCCGCATCTGCAACAGCAACAACAACAACAACATCACTGTGCGGCGACTTAACGTGACCCCGTCGCCGCCCCTTGTCCATCAGAGGATCCACCATCGCCGATGCGGCAGCAACCAACAAAACACTAACTCCGTGCAAAACAAGGAAAAAGAAAAAATTATAAATGAACGAGGAAGGCTTTTGGATCCACGCGTGATTTACATAAATATTTTACATAATATCGGTCACCCATCACACACGCACTCGTAACCCGGGCATCAACACGTCACGTCATTGTTTATCTCGGTTTGATATTCCACCAAAAAGGGGCAACCTCTGAAAACACAATAGAAAACGACTTTTCAATCAACCTTTCGACACCTACAATTTGCAAAATAAAGCCATGGGCATTAAGGAATGATATCATATTCATTTATTAATTTTATCGAAAAATTATTGTTTTATGTAACAGTGAATAATTGCAATTATAAATTAAGAAACACCTGGCGCATCCACCATAAATATATACATAAACATTCTTGATCCTTTCGTCAAAAATATTTATTTAAGTATAATATTGAAAGAACAATTTCATGAAATTATGAACCTCATATTTCAGGAAATGAACGAGCTACAATAATTTATTCGACTTACTAATATTAGTAAGTACATTAGAGTCAGTCAACATTCAATATCTGTGATAAATTTTTCAATACTATGCATGTAGGAAATGCCTTGTAAATAGAAGTATAAACAATTTATAGAATAATTTCACCAAATTGATTCTATGAACAAACCAATCCAAAATAGTTAAATAATTCCCTATAAATAAAATTAAAAAAAATCTTTATTAGTCACCAATTGTAACCAAAGGGCTATCGACCTAAGTCTTTCCGCCCTAATTCCCTTTACTTTTCGCAAATTGCATTTATTAAATTATATTACGTATTTCATTAATAAATTATAAGACTTATTAATTAATTGATCTATGTAAATATTTTGTCATTCAATATAACACCGGCGCATCCACCTTATTTTTACATGCATTAATATTAGTAACACAATTTTCTGTATAACAATCATATGAAAATTGTGATTTAAAAAGATAAATTTATACTTTAACAAATTATAAATAATATACGTACTTATTTTTAGTTGTGTTCAAACTACAATGAATACAAATTGATTTTATTTGAAGATATAAACGAATTAATACTTAAAATGTACATACTCACTAAGATGATTAATATGATGCAGTTAAAATAATTCAAACTTGTTACTTAAGGTTAAGTATTGTTATGAGTCTACTGTATGAAGAAAAGTTATGATGATGAAGATACATGCATATGTAATTATAAAAGAAATGATGAACTAATGCGAGAATGATATCTTACAGGTAAAATTGAAGACGTAGAACGAGAAGATTTTGAGGTTATTTTTGCTGGTCCAGTTTTACAAATGCTGTGGTCTATATACGTTTCCTATAAAATCAAACAATCGACTGGTCAAAAAATTGTGAATGGGAAAAATATAAAAATATCCACACTCATATGTATATGTTTATAAAAAAGTATAAAAATGAAACTAAAAAAATGACAAAAAATGGAAATATCCTTGTGCGTGTGTGTGTGTGTATAAAAAAAAGGACAACTATAAATACGTCACAGGCGCGTAATGAAAACAAAAATGAAACAACGCTGAAAAAACAGTTTGTGTGTAGGGATGTGTATGTGTGAGTGTGAGAGAGAGCAGAACTACAAGAGTGCATTGAAATTTAGGGGGGTGGCGTGCATTTTTTCCCCCCTTTGCAATATAATGTTTGCTCTTTTTTAAATACTCCTTTTATTTTTTTTTAAATATTTTTTTTTTGTTTGTCGCAATCCCTCTCTCGTCGTCTGTCCTTCTCGCTCGCACGGTCTCTCGCTCCACCCCGCTATCGTTGGCCGCCCCCCGCTCAACGCCGCCGCCCCCCGTTGCCGCCGCCGCGCGACTCCCGCGTGTTTGTTCAGAGTTTTAAAAACGCGCATTCCAAAACAATAATACTCAATCAATGATAGCAATGAGCCAATAACCAAATGGGACGTTACATTGGCTGGAAGGGGGATGTGACAACCCTGTTTACAAATGTAGCGATTGATTCTTCCAATGCTGTTTGAGCCGAGCACCCCGAGTGCCGTGGACGTACGCTCTCACAACAGACCAACCCGCATCGCAGCTCCAACTTCATTCATCATCATCAATTCATGATCTGCATATGAAGAAGAGCGGTCACTGCAGACGCCGAAGGATGGGGTATGAATCGTGCCTAGAAGGAAGTTCCAAGTTCAAGTTTAAACGCAAGTGATGATCCTACTCCCGTACGGATACACGGTGATTCATTGACGTAAGTGATCGTTGATTAGCTACAATTTCTACTATCATTAATTGCTGTTATCTATCTTCATCTCTTTGCGTATTATCAGTGTAGTTACATCCATGTTCTTTTTTGATGCATTATTTTTGGGTGTGGTTCGTGGCTCGTATTTAGTTTGTCTCGCTCGCACTTGGTGCGACAGGCCGAAGCATCCGGGTTTTAAGTTATGCAAGTGAAAATGGCCGCTCTGTATACTTGTTAAAAACAAGGGGTGGAGTTTTGCGAGCGGCCACAAAAGTTGTGGCTGCCTGGAAAAGTACACCGGCCGCCCCCCACCTGCCGCAGACGCCCCCACCGCACGCCGCGCTCTCTTTCCTAACCCCTTCGGATCCATCCCAACCCTGGTGGTGCGCTCTTTTTAGACGGGTGGAAGGGTAAAGTTGGCCGCACTCTCACACACTTTTCCCACCAAAAACCGCCCGCCTCCCACCTGCCGCCTACCGATGCTAACGTTCAGGATGTGTGCGAGCGCGTGCAACGCAAACCCCTTCCACCTCCGCCGCAGCCGCCCCTCACCCATCAAGCCTACACACGCTCGCTCACTCGCTCTCTCGCATGATAATTTCCATTCCTCAAAAACTCAACAAACGCGCGCCAAAGGTGGCGCGGATGGCGAGGCTGCAGCAAAGGCGAACGAGCATTGAGATTCACAGGGCAAAAAGGCCCTTATAGAGTTTTAATCTCGCGCCGCTTATCGCGTGCGCGTTTCAAGATGAGTTGGCGCAATTCTCCTGTATAATTAACTGAGCGGCCAGGGGGGAAGCGGCGGCGTTGGCGGCGGCGCCGGCCATTTTCAGTCTTATTACTGATTTGCATAAGTCCGCGTTTTCGGTTAATGGCCACTTGAAAGGACGCTCCCATGCGTATAGATTATAAGTTTTAATTTTGCCTTTACTCCCCTGCATCATCATCATCACCGTCATCATCAACATCCCCCGTCCGAACGCAAACCAAGAAACATGTAGTAGTACAGAACAAAAAAAACAACTTCTTTTACTGATTTCAATAGAATTACCACTCGATAAGAGATAGAAAAATTCGCTATGAAGACACGAATTATAACACATAGACTATTATTATTTCGCAAAACTTCAACATACGCTACACTTTATTTACAGTGAATTAATACTCCGCTCTTTAGTAGGACGCAGATACACGTCGTTTCCATGGAAATTATGAATAGAGTAAAAAGTTCATTGTTGGCATCGATTATAAACAGAAATGAAGAACTATTTTGTGTACCTCCTTCATTACAATTATACTAATTCATAACTTTTTCTTAAATTCTTATTGTAGAATTGAAAGGAAACGTGTTAACAGTACTTACTTTTAGAAATTTATCAATTAAATAAGACTAATATACAACATAAATTACATTGTATAAAGTTATATTAAAACTTATTTGACCATCAGGCGCAATAATTTATCATTTCTTAACTATATCCTAATGATAAATCAAGGGATGGCAATTTTTTTGGAGCATTCTTAAAAAATTGCCTATTACAAAATAGTTTAGAAAGCCGCACCATAGCATTAAGATCTCTATTTATTTACTAGTGAAATAAATTTCCAGTTGCAAGAGCTGGGTAATCTATAGTGTTGTTTTTGAACAGCGAATTGCCGACCCCTTTGATATACCAATTATGTAATTTATAGCAAAATTAATAAATATGTGCGTAAATCCAATTATTAACCGATTGACGCAAAGACAAAAAAGATAATATTACAGTATTGTAATCACGATTTGAGCTCAAAGAGCTAGCAAACAGCTTCAAATCTAATACCAAACAAAGTACGAAAGCTTAACAAATAAAGACAAATCTTAAACGAAAAACGTAACACGATTTGAGACTGTCTAGAGTGAATAGAATAAAATAAGAAAATCTAGAAATACACTTACATATTTTACAAGGATTATTTCCAAAATCTAACATTAATTAAAAAAAGATATAAAAAAATCAACGAACTTAGGGAATAACTTCTAATATAATTAGAACATTTAATAAAATAATAAATTAATTATGTTTCAGAGTTGCAAAGTTATTTGCACTGCAGAAAATAAAATCAACTTGAATGTTTATTAAGCTCGAATATTAATAATACATACAGATAATAAGGATTGTTATTTATAAGCACGTATATTAAAATAATGTTTTATTAAAATCTCATCTAATTACCTTCGCAAAACAATTAAAGCAATGGATTAACGCTAGAAGAATATTTATTAAATCTGTGAAATGTGTCGTCACGAATTACGAAATTATTCCTCAATTTAAGTCGTTTAAAATGTGATATTAAAATTTCTGATTCCATTTTCCCCTATTTACGTATTAATTTTATAATCGTTATATTTAATGAATTAAATAATTTATTTATTTTTTAATTATTTAATTATATTGTATAATTAAAAGGAAATTTTAATTCGGTTTCTTATTATTCGATTATTACTAATTTATTTTAAAAGCAAATTATTTTTTTTTAATATGATTTCAAATATTTTTTTAATTACGAAAACTATTTTAAAAAACCTAAAATTAACAGAATAATTGTAAAAATTGCATTAATCAAATCAGATTATCAAATACATTACGAACTAGTTCCGTTCCAAAGAGTTGTTCCTAAGTCGGGGAAATTTTAAAAATTTCAAAATATACTTTATCTTACCACACTTTATCATGGTTTTTACTTTTATATATCTTAAATTCTGTATTACTAACTGCATAAATTTGAATATAAATAAAATACTTACTTTGAAATACTTGAAATAATTTTATTAAAGAAATTATCAATTTTTATTTGAACAGTTAATTTTTTATCACTATATATATCCTTGTAACAAGTTAGAGCATTTAGAATTTTGTTTGTTAGTCCGGGAATTCGTAATTTTTTTGTATTGCATTTAAATTGTTTGATTAATGCTACGGTTTCTGGTATATTTGACCACAAACAAAGTAGAAAGTAAAACATTTTAATATAAAGTGGACTGATATTAATTTTCAATTTGGTTATAAAAGTTCAATAGAACAATCGAAATGGGAAGTAAAAATAATACCCATTTTGACAGAAACAGAAAAATGATTTGAAAATTTGCATTAATCATTGATGATTTTTTTGTGGGTCCGTTTTATTCATGGGTTCATCCGTGCATTCTTTTTTGTTTGTTTGTTTTTCGTTTGTTATGTTTTGTTGTTGCTATTGTTTTGTACGTGAATAAATTGGTTTCTGCAATGGATCGATTACTGTGTGTGTGTGTGTGTGTATGGGTTGTAGTTTTATATTTATCCTGAGCCTACACCAAACTACAATAATTATTGTTTTCTCTCGTGCACGCATGTTTTTTTTGCCCTTTCATGTGTTTTCGATGAATACCAATGACTTTGTACGGTGTCGGTGTACAGAATAGTGTTTGCTTTTTATTCACGGGGTGCATGAGTGTTGAGATTCGCAAACAGGGAATAAAACAAACAAACTCTTTGGCACGAAGGCCTGCGCGCTAAACAATTTTAATTATTTTTTAATGAATACTAAGCATCGCTGCAATTCGCGGCAATATTCAATGTATGCAAATTAGGACACGAACGAATACAAACTCTCCTGTTCCTCTCTCTATCACACACACATACGCACATGCAACTACCCTGCAGACTAGATGGACACTTTCATAAACACGAAATTAGTTTATTGCCAATTTTGCAGCTCGCAAAAATGTTTAGATTGAACTTTTCATATATTCACGACACACCAACTTTTACAGGTATTATATTACATTTTAAGACAGTAATAGGTAAAATTACATTAGATACGCTTTCTGTTGATACACTAAGACTTTTCTACATCCGACTTGGGCATGAGTCCCGACGTGGGAATATTCTGGGCGTCATTTCATTTTCTGGAGAGGAAGAACTCCAAGTTTAGCTTCTTCAGATCAACACACTTCTTCTCTTTAACTGTCTTGTTGGACCTTTTATAAAAACGCAACTTAATAATGCGAAAATTGCAAATAAAAATGGATTCAGAATATAAAATGGAGAAAATATATGTTCCTTGGTCCGATACCATTTCACCACTGCTCTACTGGAGACCTCAACCGTGTTTCTTCGCTGTTCGGTTCCCCGAAATTCTAGAGACATCGTTGCACCGTGAAGCGTTGTTTGCAGTGTTGTAACTTACAACGTTACAGAATGATGGGTGATAATTATTTAATTAATGATCAATCATCATTTTTCTGTAAGTAATGAAAATTTTGTTTGTTGCATTATATATAAACATAACAACAATTTGGAATTCCATAAGTAAATCTATTTTATTTATTTATTTTGGACTGGTGACAATTAAAACAAAAAAAATATAAAAAAAAGTCAAGGGATTGACAATCAAGACACGCACTCACGAACTATTTATTCTAAAATGGTTCTCTGTGTTAGTCAGCTCCACAGCAAGGGGGTTTGTGTGAATGATGATTTGATTTTTAATTTGTTGGTTGGCTGTCATCTTGTAGATTAACTTCAATAGTATATTGAATTAACACTATCATTGTCCATCAACTTGGCTGAAGGTCCATATACTGAATCTCGTTCATTTGACATAAACGATAAATAATGATAATTTATTGTACTAAAAGTATTTTGCGATACTAATTGAAGTACTTGTTTTTGTTTTCATTAAATTAATATTTTCTACAGGATAAATTTTTTTCACTCAATTTAAAAGTGATGAAATTGTAATTAAACATCAAAGGAACAGCTCACATCATTTATTAAATATAGAGGAGTTTTATGCGATTGAAACATAATACTCGCAGTATTTTATTTTATTCTCTGTGAACAACATTTATGCATTAGCAAAAACAAAAACAAAAATATACGTGCATTCAAATAGTATTTTATTTCCTACCTGAATTGTTTGTTACATTTCCATTTATTTACATTAATCTGCAAAAAAAAATATGTATATATGACATGACGCATGTA